TTGCGATTTCTGTTTCCCAATTAACTTACGTAGCGGAGACAGCGAGGCATCGGCCTCCTGCTCACGCAACCAGACCGCGTGCGGCAGCCGTAAGGTATCATCGGTGTCCACCGACACCTGCTGGTCCTCCTCCTTCGCTTTCGCCCCTGCGTCGTCCTCATTCGCTATTGCCCCCATAACCGGGCAGGGCGACGTGGGCGGTGCGGCGCAGCAGTGCGTCCCCTTCAGGCAAGTGCACGGAGGAACGGGCGGCAGCCTCGAGAGCGCATCAGCGTTTGCATGACGGGCCCCCTTTCGGTATGTTATATCGAAGGAAAATTCCTGTAATAATTCCAACCACCGGGCCAATTGGCCTGACGGCTGATCCAATTTGAGGGAATATTGCAAAGCCGCATGATCAGTGCGGACCAGGAATTTCCGTCAATACAGGTACGGCCGGTACAATCGAACAAAATGGACAATTGCCAAAAGTTCCCGCCTTGTCACGCAATATCGTGTTTCCGCAGGGGAGAGAACCCTGCTGCCATACGCCACCACCCTCTCAATCCCATCCTTACGTTGCGACAAAACGGCCCCAATGCCGATATCACTAACATCCGTATCAAGGATGAATGGCTGTGAAAAATCTGGGTAATCTAACGTAGGCGCCGTGGCGAGGTGGTTCCGAAGTGCCATAAACGAACTTTCTTCCTCCGCCCCCCATTTAAACCTCTGATTTTTGCCAGTCAGAACGTGTAACGGTTTTGCCAACGTCGCAAAGTTCTTAACGAAGCGGCGATAATAGGAAGCAAATCCAATAAACCGTCGAACATCACCCACTGAAGTGGGTGTGGGCCACTCACGTACACACTTCGTTTTCAGAGGGTCAGTAGATACACCGTCCGAACTGACAATATGACCCAGGTAACGGACGGAGTGTTGCAGGAGGTGGCATTTCTTCGGTTTAAACTTAAGGTCAGCCGTACGCATCCTCTGAAAAACTGTCTCAAGGCGGTGCAGATGTTCCTCGAACGTGCGGCTAAAGACAATTATATCGTCTAGATATATGAGGCACGTTTCCCACTGCAGTCTCGCCAACACCAATTCTATGAGGCGCTGAAACGTGGCCGGAGCTCCGTTCAGGCCCATCGGCAGCCGATTAAATTCAAAGAGACAGTGCGGCGTGCGGAATGCCGTTTTGGGTTTTGACTCGTCATCGAGGGGAAGCTGCCAGAAGCCCGAGGACAGGTCTAGGGTGGAAAAAAATTTAGCACCCGATAAAGCATCCAATGAGTCATCCATCCTCGGTAAGGGGTACGCATCCGCTACCGAGATTTTGTTCAGCCGGCGGAAATCAACGCAAAACCTCGTACCACCATCTTTTTTCTTTACCAAAACGACGGGCGCGCCCGTCGAGATAATATCCGCCGCCAGCAAATCATCCACCGCCCCACGCACGTGTTCCCTTTCCGCCGGGCTCATGCGGTGAGGGTGCATACAGACAGGCGGCGACGCACCGGTTTCAATATGATGCGACAAAAGCGATGTGCGTCCGAGGTCCAAATCATTTTTGCTGAACACATCAGCGTACTGCAGCAATAGCGAACGCAAGGCGTTCCTCTGTTCATTTGACAAAGAGGAATTCTCTCCGCATAAATCCGCAATCCAACGTTCTTGTGAACGATCGTGCGGAGGCCCAACCGCGGGCATCTGAGCGCGCGGTGGTTTATCACAAGAGGCGAAATCGGTAGTGGTGTGAGCCAGCACCGATCCCTCCGGAACAACAACGCGATCAGGTCCCCCATTCAAGACCTGTATGAAGGGTGCCTGACCTGGGCGCACGATCGTTTGTGCCGCCGCCAAAGAGAAAGATTTCGATACGGAATTCGATGGGGATAATAGCACGCCTTTCGCACCTTTCGCCATCTGAAGCGGTTTTCGGTAACGTAGCGGAATAAGCATTTGCGCTCCCGATGGAACCTCGACCGTAGCCGCAACTACAGCAGTAACTGCGTTACCTGTAGGCGCTGTGGCCAGCAGGGAAGGCAGGAACGCCATCCTACGACCCCCCGGCATTTCCAAACAGTCCTGGTCGACCCGTATTCGCAACGGCATCCGGCGCAGGAAATCCGTACCCAACAAGCATGGAACAGCTAGCGAACGAGAAATTAACACAGGTCCTGCGGCGGTAATATTTCCGATAGCGATGCTCACATCCATCTGTCCGCAGATGCCCATGCTCCCCCCATTGGCGGCAACACACGCATCATTGACCTTACGTATTCTGGACGCAGGAATTGACAACAAATGAAAAATTACATCCGAAATGATGGTAGCCGATGTGCCCGTGTCCACCAAGATACGGACGTCAACGCCGTCGATGGTACCCCGTACCGTTGACGAGCCCGACGCCGCAGCCACAATCCTGCAAGCCAATTTCCTCCACTGTGTAGCAGAGCGTGTCAATGGAGCAGAAGAAGTAAAATGACCCTTAGGAGTGTAAAAATGAGTGCGAGTGGATGAGTGATGTGACACGACCTGCCGGGTGTCCGATTTGTGCCGACTCGCCCGAGGTTGTTGCAGCTCCGCGGCAGGTAGAGAAGATGAAGGTCCCCTCGGCGGAGGAGACGACAGCAGAGGTCGGCAGCGGCAGTCGCGGGCGAAGTGGCCCCGTCTGCCGCACTTAAAGCACGCGGCCGACGTCGGCGGGCGGTCGGACGACCCGGCCCTCGCACGCGGTCGGCCCGTGTAGTCGCCCCGTTGGTCGCGCAGCCGCCGGCCCGGAACCCTATGCGGAACAGCAGCAGCCAGCATGTCGTCGTCGCCCGAGTCGTCGGAGCAGTGGACAACCAGTCGCGGAGACCACCCCAGAGGCGGCCCGTTGATCTCGGGTTTCCCCGTCCACGCCGCCATCTGGTCCCACCGCTTGATATTAAACTTAGCGTCCAGGCAGCGCGCCACCCACCGCGATGAAAGCGGTTCGTGGCCGCACACTGGTAGAGAGATGTTGAGCTCCTGAGACAACTCCAGCATGTGGGAAAGGATGAGAGGATCTAAATGCTCGGCCGTCGCGTCGGGGTAGGCGGCCATGGCCATCGCCATCAACGCCCCCCGATAGGCCAACGGCGATTCCTCCGGTGCCCGGCGACGCGACATACATTTTCTGGTGGCCGATGTCGGCGGGTCGTAAAATTCCGCCATCTCTGTGAACGCGTCCCGCAGCGTCTTCTTCTTGGACGCCGGAATGGAGCGAAAGACTCCCAGAGACACATCATCGAGCAGCGTAGGTAGCGCTCCCAGCGCTTCTTCCTCCGTCCAGTTGACAGATCTAAAAGCTGACTCGAAGCGCCACGTAAAAGCACTCCAATCGCCCCCGGCGATAAATTCTTTTATTTGTGGAAGGCGATGTCTGCGGTGGCAGGCGCGTGCCGCGGGCGTCTCCGGCCCCCGTTCCCGCTCTCCGCTCAGTGCAGACAAAATGGCGTCCGGCGGCCGCGTGGTGGCAGGCGCGCCCAAAATGGCGGCCGACGACTCCGGCGTAGCCGCCCCACCCAAGACGACGGCGTCCTCCCGCGTGGCAGGAACAATGGCGGGTCCCGCTTCCAGAGCAGGATCCCTTCCCGCAGCGTCCAGCTGCTCGGCGATCTGGCGACCCACGGCTGGTGAGGACACCACCGCGGTCACCAGGCTTAGCAGAATTGCGCGCAACGACTCAATCTGCTCCGCCATCAGCCGCCATTCGTCTCTTGGTCCTGCGGTGGTCACATCCTCCCCCGGTCGACGCTGAGAGGCGTCGAGGCGAGCGTCGTCAGCCGGCGGCACCAGGGCTGTAGCTCCCAACAGCTCGTCTTCATCCGTCTTGACCTCTTCCTCCGACAGAGGCACGGGCAGGTTCTTTTTTCTGAGGTGCTTAGACATCTTGACCATCGTCCAAACAGTCGCAGAATTACTTCTGACACCAATGTAATAATCCTCCTGGAGACGGCTTCGGAATCAGTCCTTTATTTCCACTTTCAATACACTTGCTCACTCACTCTCCGTTGCTGGCAGACAACGGAGAGAGGACAGACTACGCACTGAGTCCTCACCGCGCACGTGGCAACCCCAGCCCCCGTCCGCGCGTGACCCTGCTCCTGTTAGTTTCCGTCTGCTCTCGATCGTTCTCTCTCACTCGCTCTTAATACCTTCGTCACGTGGTTCCCCCAGCCAATCGTTCATCGACAGCTTTGACCATTCTCGATGGTTCCCTGTCAATCCCGGGACCACGCCCCTCATCCGGCTCCCCATTAGCTGGGACCCCGAATGGCTGGGCCAATCACTCCTGATGACCTGTCGTGATGACGCATGGGCCATGGTCCCTATCTCAACCCTTATTGGCTACAAGCAGGACCGGCAAGCCAATCCCCACGTGAACCCTCTATGGCTGTTATTACAGGTACAATGGGTACTTTTCGGTTTATCCGGCTTATTACCATTATTATGTATTGACGTTGATCACGTCTCCATGGACGGCATGCTGCTGCTGGTAAGGGCATGTGTTTTATAATATGCAGCATGTGTCCGCGTATCATGTTGGCTTTATTTTTTCGTTTGCCATTTTTTTATTGTAAACAAAATGGCCACCGGCAAGTTTTTAACTTGAAGAATCTACCTCCCGTCGTCGCTCGGCAAGCTTGTTTGCATTGATAGGGGCAACCGCGAGTTGGCATTCTGTGCATGTGCAGATGGCGCTTTGGCACCTGGCTCAAAGTTAACAATAAATCAGCGTACATTGTACAAAGTGTGACTTTATTAGTTAAATTAGACCAAGGGCAAAAACAAATAGGAAGTGTTCATCCGGAGGTTTAGTTTGTTTTTATTGTGTACTTTGTTAAAACGTAAACAATAGTTTGCAGTTGAAAGTGTTACGGAGAAGGCGGATACACACATACAGACAAAAATGCACTTTTATAGATAATATACAGGAATTATAAGGCCGATTTATAAAATTTGTTTGCAACACTCATGTTCACTCAAAGAAGTGATGTTTTTACTGTGAACACCAGAATCCACTTTTGGGGTTCTGTGGAATCTGCAGTCCACGGAGCCATGACGTCACGGGCAGGTCATGAACATCCCGGCAACTCCAGGTAAGCAAGGGGAGCGGCGCTGAAGGAGGTGATGCGTTTCCTACTGCTCTGTCGAGCGTACAACAAGGCACATGCCGGATGTTGAGCTGTACATATTTTACACACATCCCAATACGTCTACTGTGCTGCACGTTAGAGGGGTGATAATTTACGCATTTAATTTGTACTAACATGCATCTTACCACTTGATATATACCCTTATATTGAAATGTAGAGAAACGTTGCGAAGTTATATAATAATGCTACTGTACTAAATTCAAATTGCTGCGTGAATAGTGCCCAGCATATTGTCACTGCAGTGGAAATTAATACAATTCAATACAACGTTTGTTGCATTAACAGTTTTTTCAAGTAAAGTAGTAATTGGTGGCTGAGCAAAGTTACCGCTACTGAATGGATAAAAGCACAACATTTTGCATGTGGGTCTTTCAGGTCCTTATACAGGATTAAAATGTAAGCTCGGAGTCCTCCTGAGTTTTGCCTCGTATCCCAACAGAACACTGAATTCCAAGATATCCAACAACAATTTAAAGTACAGTTTGTACCTTAGTTGCTTTTAGAATATTCAGATAAACATTGTTCCTACGGCCAGAAAATGCTATTATTAGGTGGTTTAATGCATTTCATAAAAGTGAATCAGAACCACAAGACTATGTTTTCGACTATTTGGTTAAATGTAGCAATATACCACGTAATGTAATGAGTCCCAAAATTACACTGGGAATGAATGTGTGTGTCTGTGTTTGCATGGGTGCACATATGTGTGTTGGTGAAAGTGAGCAAGCATGAACGTGAGTGTGCATGTGTTAGAGTTGAAGGTTCATTCATTCGTTTCTCCATCCGCTTGTCCCAGTGAGGGTGGTGGTGGCAGCATGTTAACTCTCCTTTCAATAATCCTTACTAATATCTGCTTCAAATATCATACAGGAGTCCCAGGACTCCCTGTAATGCCACAGTGGCGAGATGTTAACTACCTCGCTCGGTATACAGGAGGTCGTGGGTTCGATCCTGACCCTGACGCCTGTATACAGGGTGTTTAAAAGAAATGTACCCAATTTGAAATCGCTATATCTCTTCAACCATGAACCGCCCATGAATGAAACTCTTACCACTTGAAAGGGCGGGGCATAGAATATCAAATGATTATTGCTACATGCCTCTCCCAGCGCACAAACAGCCCCTAGCCTCAGTCATTCACAAGACACACTGCCTCAACGTTGGATATGTCGCACTGGACCCCAAGACTTGGCGCAATACTCTTGGCCCCCAAGATCCCCAGACATCACACCCTGCGACTTTTAATTGTGGGGATACGTCAAAGACCGTGTTTTTGTGCCACCATTAGCGACTAATCTGGATGACCTCAAAAATTGAATCACGGCAGCAGTAACTTCAGTGGAAAAAGACACTTTGAGAGGCGTTTGGAACGAATTCAACTATCATCTCGATGTTGTCCGTACAGCAGGTGGAGAGCACATAGAGCATTTATTAATGGTTAGTCAAACTTGATAACTCATTAAACCATTTGTAACTTTTTGTGTAATTGTAAAATGTTGCCATCGTGAAATATACTGCTTTGAAATTGGGTCTATTGTTTTTAAACAGCCTGTACAGTATTTAGAGTTTGCATGTTTCTCTTGCCGTAGTCTCGTGGAATGTTCTCGGGGTCCTTCGGTTTTTCCCTCCACATTTAGAATCAACATGCGTTTCAAGTATTTGACTGCTATAAATGTTTTTCTGATAAGCCACCTCGTTGAACTATCATTTGTGGCCAGGTGGATTCTGAAAAAGAGCTATATAGCTCAGTGGGCCTTTCCTAGAAAAATGAAAAGAGATAGTACCTCACCATGGGTGAAATTATTATCTACAATACAAAGCCATCAGAATCAATTGTGTTTATTTGCTTCTCAGGTTTTAGCTGCCACATGTCAAACAGAGAAAGCTGTATACATCACAGACATGCTGTTATATAATCCCCATGTATATTTGCAATCATGAGGTAGCTGATACTAGGAATTTCTAGTGGAATTAACGACGAAGTGGAAAGCAGCATCCAGTCTCTGTAAATCTATGCCCCCACCTGCATTGACGTCAGCAGGAAGAATATTCCTGTACTGGTGGTGGTGCTGTTGGTCCTGATCGAGGCGGCGATGGTGGAGTGCTTGGTGGTGAATCGCATACGTGAACCTCCTAACACCTGTGAGTGCTTGACACAAACCTGAATCTGCCAGCACCCCCTCTACTATCACCACCACCATCATCATTACATCAGCTCCATCTCCGCTTTCATTACTACCATCAATACGACCACCACCATCAATACGTTCCTCACTACCGCCACCGCTACTACATCCACCTCAGTCACAATCACCATTATCACCACAATCATTTCACAACCATCAACACCACCATCACAATGATAACCACCCATTATCACGATCAGCATTATCACCAGCACAATCACAACCGTCATAAACTAACTATTGTCACTATGCATCTCCCCAGCCCCACCTACCTCCACGCTCGTGGTTGAAACGTTCCGCTTGGCTTCCTATTATGGAAACCACATGGTCCTGCAGAGGGGACCGCGTGGTGCCTTCGTGTGGGGGTTCGGGAGCGTGGGAGCCAAGGTGGTCGTGAGACTCTACAACAGGAGCAAGGACTTGTTACAGGAGCACAGGAGCATCGTGTCGGCAGGTCTCTCTCTCCACCATGCTGCAACTTGGAGGCTCTTTATTCATTAGTGACATAAAACATATCCGTTGAGGCGCCCTCGTTTGTGCCAAGCCCGGAGCCAATTGCTCCTTTATCCTTGCATCGCTAGAGGGCCCTGACCCTGGGGTTTGAGTATATAAAATACCGTTATCAAACGAAGATTGTAGTAAGGTCATCAATGTCATTATCGGAATTTATTTATAAGACACAGTAGATATGAGAATAAAAGTTTGATTATAACGCTCACGTTAAAGCTGCTGCTTGGGGTTATTTCATCACTCCCACTACACCAGCCAATCAGCCACTAAGAAGAAAATTCCCATGCAACATTGCCGGCATGACATTATTATTTGGTGCGCTTAAGCTGGTCGTGGTTGAGGTATCATGATTATCGGTAACAATTGACTCACAACTGGTCCTGACCAACCCTCAAATATCTCCTAACTTTAGGATGACAAAGTCTTGATGAATCGCTTATTTACTTGGAGTCACACGATGGGGCGTCATGGTGGCAAGATGTTATCTGCCTCACCTGGTATGCAGGAGGTCATGGGTTTGAACCCGACCCTGATGCCTGTAGATTTGCAGTTTGCATGTTCTCCTGTGGTTCGCGTGGATTTTTCTCCAGATCCTCCAGTTTTCCCCTTCACATTTAGAAATATGCGATGAATTTTGCTGTTATACATTTCCACCTGATAAGCCACTTAGATTAGCTATAATTTGTGGCCAGGTCGCTATCTGAAAAATGGCTATATAGCTCAGTGAGCCTTAAATGGTAAAATAATATTTTTTTCATAGTTTTTATAGTTTAAGTTTAATCTTGAACCAAGCTTACACAATTTTATGGGTATTATAAGTCGTGCTGCGCTCAGGCACCTTGTCTCTTGAGTTGCCACCCAGTTAAACAAATGAATGGAAACAGGAACACACGATGTATGTTGGGCTGTTGGGGCAAGTAGTGTCAATAAGCACCTATTTAGCCTATGTCAGCTATGTGTATGTATATTTCCGGGACCCTTTCGGCCAGAATTCAGATGATAAAAAAGTTGTATCATTTCTAGCAATAATATAGGAGGTGTTAAGGTGTTAAAACACCAAATGTACACACATTACAAAGCGCCAAATCTGCATTAACCACACATAGTTGTGGCAACACGCAAAACATGCTTTGGTAAGCATTTTCCTTAAAACTGGTTGACCTACACCAGAGGCAGCCTATGTAATGCCTTGTCTAACCAGTGCTATAAAACAAAGGTCACGAAAATGTGTCAAGAAAAATAAGTGGGCTTGGGTAGGGCACATGGCTATAAGGGACGATGAATGACGGTCAAGAATAATAATGGAGACACACCCAAAAATAAAATGGGTCCAAGAGGATGCTCACCGAGGAGTTGGAGTGACTAATTCACCTCATGTACCAGTGCTGGATGGATTGTTGCATCACAAAATCATTAATGGTGGCGGTGGCTTGGAAAAGCTTTACACCAGAAATGCTATAATCATGACTGATAATAATGATGATGAAAAATCAATTACTTTCAGGAGGAAAATGTGCTGACCAATGTGGGTAACCAAATTCCTCACAAACGGTTCTTTCACACAAGAGTTGTTAGATTTAACATTTCAGTTGATCAAAGGGAAAAAACATTTTCACAAAGCGCCAAGGCAGCAGTACCCATGATATGTATGCAATATCACCGCTCATTTAGACAGTACCCTTTATGAAACCAAGAGAGAAATAAACACATTGTGAAACATGATACATCGTTGCCTCTTTTGCAAGAGTCATCTGGGATGTTGATTGAAAGCAAAATGGGTCATGAAGGGAAGGCAACGAAAAGCAGGGGTGTTTTCAAGCTCAAGTTAAACATGGGCAAGATGAATCAAAGACCCGAAGACTGTGTATGAGGAAAGGTTTCTCCAGGTACTTATTTTTCTCCCACATGAATTGGCCAATACACCATATATAGAGGACTGCAGAGCTTGGGCAATTGTTGGCATTGGCTCACTCTGTGGCTGCCTTCCTGCTTGTCTATTGCTCCTCGTGCATCTTGGTCATTCTCTCTCTAACTGCGTAAGCGAATATTGGGGGCGCGTTAAAAGTTGAACTAAATATTACAAGGCTAAATGGCGTACCTATGTATGTGTGTCTTTGTGTGTGTAGAGTCACACACGTGGTCCGTGACTCTGAACCCCATGGATGCTGGGGGGCCGTTCTCTCTCAGTGCCACCCAGCGGAGCCCTGTGTGGAGGGGCACTGGGAGGGAAGCGGTGAGGGTTGTGATTCGCGACATCTGGTTCGGAGAAGTGTGGCTTTGTGGGGGGCAGAGCAACATGCAGATGACTGTACAGCAGGTAAGGTTTCTCTTCATCCTCTATTTGCTACCAGCAATTCCCCACTGGCCACGGAATGCGCTGCAGATAGCCCCCACCCCTACCCATAAAGCTCACACCTCTGAGTAGCACGGTTGGCTATGTATGGTGGGAAATAAGTTCAAGATAGAGTACATCCCCTCTTAACGACCACCCCTGTTAATGACTACTCGCTTAACGACGGGCCTCTATAGAGCCCAATGTGTTTGCTTATCGACCATTCCCCTGTTAACGACGGGCTAATGACGAGCACGCGACTGCCAATTTCGGCCAATTGGCGAGATACAAAGTGGTCTGACCAGAACGTGGCCAATCAGCGACGTCCATTCATGAGCCTTGGGGCATTGTTTACATACAGTGTGTCTGCTGTGTTTTGAAGTGAGAACATCTACTCGCTGAACGACCAAATCACTTCACGATCGGTTTTGTGGAATCAATTACCATCGTTAAGAAGGGTTCTAGTGTACATACAATTATTTCTGCACCTCAGGATTAGTTGCAGCTAAGGCCACAGCGATCCTATGTAAGGGTTATAAATTTATAACATCTAGAGCCTCAAACAATTAAAAAACTGTACGTCTATCCAATAATGTTGTTTAAACACCATTACCAAATGGCTCATAAGCACTCGTTTAGAGGCTATAAGTGCACGTTTGAAGTGTTGAGTATCGACTCTCTTGCATGTTGTTTTACATACCTTGCAGTCGCTGTACAACTTGTTAATGAAAATTATTTTTGCTGTGCAATTCTTATCTTATATATATTTACTAGCAGGAAGTACCCGGCGTTGCCCGGGCGAAAAAGACAGACACACACATCGACTTACACACGCTTACAGACATTGACCCACATACACACATATGGACTCACACACATACATACATAGACTGACACACACACATATGGACTTACACACACACATATCGACAAATACACACATGGACCCACGCACACACATATATAGACGCACACACAACACCCTACACACACACATATCGACTGACACACAGACATCGACATTAGATACACACATATAAAGTTACACACACACACATTGACTTTCACACACAAATCGAATCACACGCACATATGGACTAACACACACACATGGACTTTCACTCACACATACATCGACTCACACACATCGATTTAGACGCACACACAATTTATTTTTTATTTTCACTTACACACACATCGACTGACACACAGACACGCACACAAGGACTTAGACACAATAATCGATTAATATTCGCCAAGTAAATTTAGAAATATGAGTTGTTAGCACACAAACAAAAATTGTAATATTTCCAAGGTGATTATTAAAATAATAGGTTTCTATGGACGTGAATGTAGTGAAAGAAGCAATAAATATAAATATTAGTTGTCTGCACACAAACATTATTAATGTAATATGAGCAAGGTGATTATTAAAATAATAGGTTTTTATCAACGTGAGTTTAGCGAAAGAAGCAAGAAAAAAGACCAAAGAGTAAGAAAAAAAATACTTAACATTGCCGTGGTGAGGCCTAGTCCCATGCAGAGCCCCCGGCCTCGCCTAGATTGCCCAGTCGGGCGAGGTGGAACCTTGGCAGGCTGGGGGCTGGGCCACTACCCCCGCCCTTCCCCCCCCCCACCATCCCCTCGCCCGCACTACAATAATAGTATATACGCACTATAATATTAATATCTACAGACTCTATCGTAGTAAGCACACACATTGGGGTGGGGGAGGGGGAACATTAAACTTTGAAGAATTTACTTCAGCGTTTATTTGCATTATGAAGGTGAAAGATAAATCCCCCCCCCCTCCACCGATGACGCATGTGCATTTCCAGGGAAAACCTCCCGTCAGCCGAGTAGTATACTAAATAAATAAATAAAGATACATCGCACTAAATTGCTCATTTAACTAATTAAAAGTTGAGGGATGTGAAAAACGATTAGCGCTTGCCCACCACGGGGCTTACGGCGTGATACCAGCTAATTTTTTCTTACCTAAACCCCACCGTTTGAGAGCCAAATCCTTCGCAAGTGTGCGAACACACACACTGACAAAAATTTTATTTTATAGGTAAGACTAGCGGGAGTACCCGGCAGTGCCTGGGCCAAAAAGACACATCAACTTACACACACACATTGGAACTTTTAGAGCAGGTTGGCAGCAAATGGGTAACTTTGGCACAAAACAAAGAACGCCATCAGGTTGGTATCTTGTGGAGCCAGGGCCTGTTGTTGGTCATTTTCTTCGGTGAAGTAGATGCATTGCCCATTTTGGAGTTGAACTGACAAATGGACGACTGTGGGGGAACGCTCGTGGATGGGGGAGGCAAGAATGATCCAAATGGCCTCATTGCTCCTGATGTATCTTCCTTGGACAAAAAGTGTAACCTCATCCACACTTGGCCTGTCTTTTTGTAAGGCAAAGACAGGCATGTCAAAACCGTTGATGTATTTGCAAACATTTGATGGCTTGCACAGAATTGCAGAATTCCACATGAATGTGGCGCTCGAAGATCTTGAACAGAAGAGAGCAGTCGGGAACGATCCACTGGTTGTCAACCTTCATGTCAGAGTTAGTGGCAGGTCTGAGCGTTGTTTAAAATCTACCATTTCTGCAACGATATGGAGGATAGGCATGGCCTGACTGAGTGTCTTCCAAGAAGTTGCATGGATACTTCTTCGTACACCTGCGGTCTTGCATACATGGCGAAATATGATTGAACTGCCCACATGGGCCATAGACCGTTTGCTTGCAAACCACATCAAATAGGACAGGGTCTTGATGGGGGTCAGGTATCTCAGCACTGACAAATGTGTCAATGTCACTTGAATGAATTATTTCCGTCATCAATAGCAATGAGGAAGACACGTTTTTGCCACTCTATGGTGTGCAAGTTACATGTTGTCTTTCCAAAGAAACCGCCTTCCTTAGTCGGAATAAGCCTGATGAGTTCATCAATTTTAAGTGTGAAGACCCTTGCAATGATGTCATGTGTGTTTGTTGCCTTTTGGTTTGGAGAAAGCTCAACCTGGATGTATGTATCTTGATCCACCGGTGAAGGATGAAGGCAAAATAACGAATCTACCCATATTCTGAGCGTTTGCATGTACGTCAGCAGTGATCGTGTCCCTGGAATGAGCATACTGTTTTATACGAAGGCGTTTTTATTAAGTTGAATGTAAAGAACACACTTAGTAGAATTGGTTGGCGCACCGTAATGTGGTTTCCTCCTTCTGTGTCCATGATCATGAAGGAATATAAGACTTTAGAAGAGACAGTTTTGTGAGGATGTATTTGTCGTGTAGCTTTGATAATTTGAGGAATTTGGACGTGGTACCTATCTTGAACTTGTCAAAGTATAATGGGGTATTGTAGGGCATCATATGCTCTGCTTGTGTCAGGAAATCGTTTTATGGTGTTGTCTTGGTATCGAAGCACAATGTCTCATACCGACTGTGGTGGTACCTGCTATGATTACAGCAATGCATACTGACTGTGGTGGTAAATGTTATCACTAAAGTAGTACATGCTGACTTTATAGCAGTTTTTATCGACTCTATAGCCCAAAGTACTCACCTGACAGAGTGGCGTGGTGATGCCTAGTCCCGTGCAGAGCTTCCGGCCTCGCCTACATTGCCCAGCCGGACGAGTTGGCACCTTGGCAGGCTGAGGGCTGGGCCGCTACCCCCCCCCCCCACCCTCCCCCCGCCCGCACTCCAACAATACTATGCAAGCGCTATAATATTAATATCTATGGACTCTATAGTCGTAAGTGCACACGGTAGGACCAATACCTCTGCCGTTGCTGATCAATGTTTTAACGCAGTGGGATAACACAAAATTGACTTTTCCAAGACCAAGGTACTCTGCAAACCCACCGGCTATTATCAAAGATTTGTTCATGAAGCCATCCAGATATATAAAGACAACTTCAACCGAGAAGATGGGTACAAATTGAGCAATCATTGGAAGGACGTTATTAACCAGGTAAAGTCTTAACAGACTGTGATGTCTCCATCCTACCTGCCCATGTCAGCTGTTTTTTACGACTCTGTGTGTCTTTCTCTCGCTGTCCGTGCTGCCCTGCTTCCTCCCCCCTCCCTTCACTCCCCCCCCCCCCCCCCCCCTGCAGCCGACCCCTCTCCAGTGTTGCTGCGGTGGACCACTTTACTCCAGTGACCCGGGGCTGCTGCGGGGTCCACTTTCTGCCCCGCCTGCTCCCTCCTTCTCTCTCCCCCCCTACTGCCGAGACTGAAATAACCTCGTGCCACGGCAGATCTCTCGCCGACTTCAACAAACATTTTTTCTTGCTGTGGTTGTCCCACCCGATGACGATTGCTTGTGTTGCGATCAAAACGTTGTGATCTATTATTGTTTCTACCTACGTTATATTAAGCCCATACTGGCAACATTTGCATAGCCTACCGTCAAAGTGTTCACCTCGAGGTAAAAAATGTTGAGTTATGCACGTCATGGATAATCATGCTGGCAGTGGGAATATCTCCAGTTTTACAAATGTGAGAGACGATAGTTTCAGAAAGTTTTTTCCCCCCAATTTTAAATTATGAAATTCGCGTGGTATAAAGCTGCATAACGCCTCTCAACATTAATTTATTATGCTTCAGCATCAAGCCTCTCAACATAAATTTAGTATGCTTCAGCATCAAGTGCCCCCTTTATGGTAATCAGTTTTTAGCAGGGGGGTGGGGGAGAAGTCTTCCGTAACGTGCGCCCCAGCGCATCACTGAGCAGATTACAGCCACGACGGCATGCACGCAGTCAGTGCCGGATTAAGCTGGTGTGGAGCCCGTAGCATAAGTTATGAAGGGGCCCTAAATAAAAAGAAACCACAAATATTAAAACACAAATTTGTAACTAGCATAGTAAAGTAATTGTATTTTTTCATTTGCTATACAGCCAGATAATTACGACAAATCGCTAACCTTAAACACAGTCGTTCATAAAAGTTGAAGGCAGTGTAGTACTATGGCAATAGAGCAAGTGCAAAATCACTGAACCGGAATTGATAGCTTGAAAGCATTTAGCGCGGGGCCCTTGAAAGTGCAGTGCCCGTAGCATATGCTACGTTCACGACTCGGATAATCCGGCACTGCACGCAGTAGCGATGATAAACAGCAGTAGAGACTGGACCCACACCTCTCAAAACATCACTCAGTCCCAGGTACAGCACTCGCAGCTTCTGGGGCTGCACTGCTTGAAGCTATCGTAGTCCTGGTTGCGGTTCCTCCCCATTCCAGCAGTAAATCAGGCCCTCTTGCTGCACTCGGTGTGGTTCCTCCAGACTCCAACAGACGATCAGGCCCTCTTGCTGGTGGCTGATGATGGCTGCTGGTTCATCTCTGGCTTGGTTTCCTTCGCCCCTTTAATCGCCGGTAAATTAGCATAATTGGCCTTCCCCACACCCATTCAACTAAAACCCGTCCACCAGCTATCACGGACACCATAGGGAAGCCAGGGATGTGATCCTCAACTTTCACCTCATCACACTGCCTCCCTCCTCAGGAGAGGCAACGTTTGATTTGACTTCATATCCCGCGAGTGTGAAAGAGAAGTTACACTCCGGCTTGCCCTAGGCAGGTACTATTGACATATACTCAAGTAGTCGGCACCAATATTGTCAGCACCTTTAATACTTGCGTAAGGTGTACGGATATAGTTGCAGTGACAATGCACATCAAATCACTCGGTCAATTTCAATTTGTGTTGTTAAGGGAAATGAAGGGCTTGTGATCTGTTTCCAATATGTACTCGCTGCCATATAGGTACATCCAAAACGTATGGACCCCACCCCAATGCTAAGCACTTTTTCTCAATAGTTGAGTACCGTGTCTCCCTTAGTAACAATTTTCGACTGGCATACATCACGGGAAAATTGTCACCATAATTCTCCTGCAGCAGCAGATCAGTTCCCAAACTTGTGTCTGACGCATCTCTATGCAACATGGAGGTTTTCCCTTAATTGGGCAATTTCAGAATTTTGTCTCCAGTGAGACCTCCTCTCAATGTTTCAAAGGCTACACTGGCATCCTCCATCCATTTCAATTGGTTTGGTTGGCAATTAGCGGTCATATTGGTCAGAGGTTTGGCTATTTCAGCGAATCTTGGAATACATTTCCGGTAATATCCTATTAAGTGTAACACGTAGGCTTTTACGACCAATATCATCCATAATACAGGTTTTTTTTTGGTTAGATCACGTAAATATATAAATGTGTCATTAAACCCGTCACCACCGAACACAGACAATTAGTAAGGGTTGTCACGTAAACAGAACATGCCAATTCGTTACTTGTACAGCACACTGGTGTGTTGGAGAGCCAAGCCACAACATTTACAATCCGAGTACGACGTTTCACAAGTAATTACAACAAGCTTCATCAGGCGACAGCCAAATGATGGTACAACCCAATCCGTAATTGCTTGATGGGTTATTCGTCACGTGCTCTGCCTGCTCTCGTTGTAACGGCGTGAGCTCTGATTGATCCCTTACTCTATCATGCCTTTATACCCTTTCTAGTTTTGTCGCACCTGGGATATTACCTACCATGACTTTATACAGAGGTTCCTCTATGCACATGGCATTAACAACTCCTGAAAAGTAAGGGGACATCAATTCAATCTTGTCTATTGAACACGGGCGTGCTCTCCTATCCATTAAAACAGACAGTATTTACCCATTAATTGGGAGTTAGCCATAATTGCTTGTTATAAAACGATTCCACTGCATCCAGTGTCCCCGAGCATCCTTACATGTCTAGGTCCCTGTGGGATATTCATTATTCCTGGTTGCACTAGGTTTTCGGAAATATCTGCCCACATACCCAAAACTGGAATTTTTCCACTACCCATTGATGTGTCAGGCAAGATGCATTTTCCAGATGCCACGCGTTTTCGGTTGACTACATTTAAAGGATGACGTTCAAGAACCTGGGCGTTTCAGGGCAGATGCAGAACCTCATTTTGATGTCAAGCAGAGCCTGCACGGACAAAGTTTATGCCAGCCACTGGAGGGAGTTTTCCTGCTGGTGCATCAAGGCCAGTTAAGACCCACTGTTGTGTGGCATACGAGCTATTGCCAATCATCTCTAGGTAGTGTTTGAGAGCGGAAGCGTCCATAAAACTACGCCTTTCAGATATTTCTGCCATTTACACACTTCTCCGGAGTCCAGGTGGGTTCCTTGGTGGTGATGTCCAGGCTCCTGAGAGCCATGTTTCTGGAGAGGCCTGATAGGCCAGCATCGGTTGCTCCTTGCCAGCCCGCCGGCCTCTGTCTCTATTGGACAGCGGGCTGACGAGGGTCGAAGTAGTTCTTTGTCTTGTATGGGAACTCAGTCAGGGTAAACGCAACCTCGAAAGGCCGACAAGGAACATCCAGTGGCGTTGATGACCCATTCCACCAGAGCAGCGGTAACATTTTGTACCAGGGCATCCAATATGCCATTGCAAATTATTTGTAAGGTAGCGACTTCAAGGTGGCTACATACGTTTTTCAGGCATTACAGACTGGATACGATGGTGGTGCTTGTTGCAGAGGTCCATGGTTCTAATTCAGCAGGCCACCCTGGTTAATACAGCGGATGTCTCTCATCATCTCCAATAAAATGTAGCATACACAGCATCATCACACGCAATACCCCATGTCTCTGTGTCCCTATGTTTCCATGTCTTTGTGTCTCAATGTCCCTGTGTCTGTGTCCCTTTATCTCATGTCTATTCTTTACATGTCTGTGTCCCCATGTGTCAGTGTCTCCATATCTCTGTGTCCCCGTGTCTTCATGTTTCTTTGCTCTATGCCTCTGTGTCTCTATGTCCCCGTATTTCCCTGTCTCTGTGTCTCCGAGTCCTTTTTCCCTGTATTATTCTTCCCATGTCTTTATCCCCATACGTCTCTGCGTGCCATGTTTCCACGTCCCTTTGTATCCGTGTCTATTTTCACGTGTCTCCATATACCTGTTCCTCTCTGTCTCCATGTCCCAGTGTCACTAGGTAGTAAACACAACATTGACCCTAACTCTGGGTCTCTAAATCTTTATGTCTCAGTGTCTATCTCCATCTGTGTCCCCATGTCCCTGTGTCGGCATGCATCCGTGTCCCAGTATCTCCGTGTCTCATTGTCCCATGTTTATTGTTCCTGTAACCGTGTCCCCGTGTTTTTTGTGTCTCAGCGTCCCTGTATCTCTATGCATTTATGTCTCTAGGTCTCTGTGACCCAGTGTATCTCTGCGTATCGATTTCCACACGTCTCTGGGTCTCTGTGTGTCCATGTACCCGTGCCTCCATGTCCTTTGGTCCCTGTGTCTAGTCTTCACATGCCTCCCGTGTCCCTGTTCCACTGTGTCTATATGTCCCCATGTATCTGTGTCACTAGGTCACTCAGGACTAAACGCGAGCTAGAATCTAACTCTGGTTCTCTGTATATGTTCTTCCCGTGTCTATGCCTGCGTGTTCCCATGTCCAGGTGGTGAACGCGAGTTGGGAGCTGGCTCAAGCCGCAAACTTCCCTCTCGTCCGACTGTTTGCTGTCTCCTTGAATACATCGCTCCAGCACCTGGACGACTTCTCATCAGTCGAACTCCCCTGGAGTCTCCCCACAGCGGGTACGTGTTCATAATTTAGCACCTCTCGGAGTTTGACACAGAAAGTCCAGGAATTAGCATATGTGTGGCAAGATTTTAATTATATTGATATCTGGTACCAGTATTGTATTGAGATTTAATACAGGAAACTGCAGTGAGTATAGCCTTCAGCTGACTAAAAAACATGTCCCTGTTCACTCAGTGGAACAGACAGTGAACTTGTTCATATCTAAATTATTTGGGTCTTTCGGTCAAGTCACGTAAAATAGAAAATAATAGATCATGACGTTACGATCGCAACACAAGCAATCGTATTCAGGTGAGAGAGAGAGAGACAGCTGCTGAGACAATGTCTTATTTCGGCCTGAGATGGGTGCATCAAGGTAAGTGGGTGGAGCTAGAGATGGTCTAACCACAGAGGCTGGGGCAGTAGCCTTTGTATTGTGAGAGATTAGCATGATAATGGCTGGGGCAGTGGCCTTTGTATTGTGAGAGATTAGCCTGTCCTGAGATGGGTGCATCAAGGTAGGTGGGTGGAGGTGGAGGTGGTCCAACCACAGAGGCTGGGGCAGTGGTCTTTGTATTGTGAGAGATTAGCATGACAATGGCTGGGGCAGTGGCCTTTGTATTGTGAGAGATTAGCCTGTCCTGAGATTGGTGCATCAAGGTAGGTGGGTGCAGCTAGAGATGGTCCAATCAAAGAAGCTGGGGCAGTGGACACCCAGCCTGTCAATACAAAGACATCCAACCGAGTCATGAAACTCAGAGAGTCAGTTAACATCGATAGAGAGGATGGAAACATCATAGCAATTTAATACTTTACCTAGTTAATCACGTTCTTCCAATGATTGCTCAATTTGTACCCATCTTCTCGGTTGAAGTTGTGTCTATGTTTATATATCTGGATGGCTTCATGAACACATATTTGATGATAGCCAGTGGGTTTGCAGAGTTCATTCGTCTTGGAAAAAATCAATATCGTGTGAGCCCACAGTGTTAAAACAATGATCAGCCACGGCTGAGGTATTGGTCCTACTGTGTTTCAGATCCGCCTTGTGTTCACGAACACGGTCCGGGAAATGTCGCTTAGTTTCCCCAATGTAACTACTGCCGCAGACACAACTCAGTTTGTAGACACGCGGATATTGCATGTCAGGGATCACATCCTTAACAGATGGGATCAGATCACGAATTGTATTTAGTGACCCCTGCTATGTATGGAAAGGTGATGGTTTTGATTGGGTCTTCAGATGTTTTTTCCCCCACGGTTGGGGTGACAGCTTTGTGGATTGTGTGGTCTGAATATCCATTAATCTTGAAGGATTGGTGTACGTGCTCCAGGTCACTGGCTAGGTGGTGCTGGTCGGAGGTGCAACGGGCCCTATGGTGTAGGGATTTGATGAGATAATTATTCTGGGCTGGATGGTGGTGGGAGTCAGGTTTTTAGATAGACATCTATGTGGGTGGCTTTCCTGTAGACAGAGTGTCCCAGTGATCCATCTGGTCTCTTTTCGATTAAAACATCCAAGAAGGCTAACTTGCCATCCTTTTCTACTTACATGGTGAATTTGATGGCTGGGTGTTTGGGATTTATGTGCTTGAAAAACTGGTTCAGTGCTAGCGGGCCATGTGGCCAGATGACGAACGTATCATCTACGTATCTCTTCCACAAGGAAGGACGTAGCGTGGATGCCTGGATGACATCTGTCTCAAATTTTTCCATGAAAATATTGGTGACCACTGGCAATAAGGGAGAACCCATTGGGGTACCTTCATCTTGTTTGTAGAATGTACCATTCCAGGTAAAGTAAGTGTTGGTGAGACAGTGTCTCACCAGGGTTGGTACATCAGCATTCAGTCCTTGTTGGACCAAATCTTCAATGATTGCAATGGTGTAAGACACAGGAACTTTGGTGAAAAGAGAGACCACATCAAAACTTACAAGCAAATTACCTGGAGATAATGAGATTTCTTTAATAAGAGAAACCAAATGAGCTGAATTAAGTACAGCTGAGGTGGTCTTGTCAGACAGAAATTGGGCCGGTGTGTAGGTGTGTGAGTTAATGATGTAGATGATAGGACGGAGTGGTGTACCTTCTTTATGGATTTTTGGTAAGCCATAAAATCTGGGTGGTCTAGCAGCAGAGGGTTTTAGAGAGAGCCGCTTGGTTGGTTCGATTAAAGATGTCGAATCAGTGATGATATTGTTGGTTTTCGCAACCAGGTGGTTTATAGGATCACTATTGATTTTGGTATATCTCTCACCTGAAGACGATTGCTTGAGTTGCGATCGAAACGTTGTGATCTATTATTTTCTATTTACGTGACTTGACCGAAAGACCCAAAGTGTATGAATTCCTGCAGTCACGAACGCATTAAAGCAAGATTGTTCGTATTTATTAGACCCGTTTTGCCATTTTGTCGATGATAAAAATGACTTTACCTTTTCTGGCAATAATGCAGGTGTTAAGATGTTTAAACCCAAAATAGACACCTATTACAAGGCACCAAGTGTGTATTAACCACAAATACTTGTAGTAAATCATGCAAACAAAATTGCATTGGTCATGTATGCATTGTCATCGAAATTCAATGGCCTAAACCAGAAAAAGCATATTTTATGGCTTTGTCTCACCGGTGCTATAGACAAAAGAATGCCACAAGGACGATGCAAATGAAAAAATATTAATAGCTTAGGTTAAGTAGTTATATCTACTGCACCTTTTTTGCAAGTGTAGTGACATCGGGAATGTCACTGTATGGTGCCGGCCTGAGAGGGCCACGGCACGCGATGCACTGTCATCGCATACACCCCATAGGCGGGTGTAGTACCAACCCTAGCGGGGCTTGGTGTGCGCTGGGATAGCGCGGGCACTACACATAGCATGTAGTGCGGCCTCCCACATGGGGGAGTAGGAGAGTATCAGCCCAGGGGCAGGGTTGCCCCGAGCCAAGGCACTCTGGTTGACCCCGCAGACACGTGATCTGGAGTGTCCACAGAGAGGCCCCCAAGTGGGGGGACTCGGGGGTGATCATGTGTCCGGGGAGAGCTCTCGAGAGGAAGCTGGAAGGCTCTAGAAAGTGGGCGGGGCCAAGGGCGGAGCAGCCCCGACCCGTGGCGGATATAAGGCGGGTCTCTGAGAGGGATTGGGGTCGCTGCATTCTACAAGGTGAAGCTCTACGTCTACAAGCTGGAAGCTCTACGAGACATAAACACGTGGTCGGGACCCGAGTGAAGGCCCGACCCTTCGTATCCGTAACTTCTATGTATAGGGTAGTTAGCTGGGTGGTCACCACCCTAGGCTGTATCTTGGTGTTATGTGTTGATGTTACAATAAATGGGTTGCCTCTAAAGAACAACATCTGCGACTCAGTTTGACTCACTACACCAGTATCAAGATGATAAACAAATAAAAGACAACCATTACAATGCATCAAGTCTGAATTAACCACAAATGTCACAAGTATGTGTTGTTATGTGTCTTGAACTTCTTTTGCACCATGCATAGCCAATTGTGCTAATTGGAGGTGCCAGAAAGGGTAAAGCATTTTCTTTATTTGGTGTGTGAACGTCTTAACACTTGTATTTATTTCCAGAACGTATTTCATTTTATTTTGTTCATAATGGCAATGAGTCCCACAACTAGGGGGGAACCTGAAGGCACATCCACACGGAGAACATCAATTGTGCAACCAATTCGCTCTCAAAAATGTGCAACTAATTTTCGCTTACACCCAACGTTGGTGGTGAATATTTGATCTGGTCCTGGACCTCCCCTAGATAGACTGACAGTTAAATGAGTACCTGCCGTGCTGTATTAATATCAGCATTAGGCAGATAAAGGCGTAGTCGGGCATGTTGTCAGGCAACCACCTCATCACGTGCCGTGTCAGCCTAAATAGGTGCCTGCTAATGGCATTGGCTTTACCAGATTGTTAAGAGGTTACAGAGGTAATCGTTGACCATGTCTGTGTATGTCTACGTCTCTCTGTGTGTCTAGCCCGCCTGGGCAAAGGAGAATACACCGTTTTCTCTGCCGTCTGTTGGTTCTTTGGCCGAAACCTACATCGCACTCTGGGTGTCCCTGTGGGGTTGGTGCAAACCTGCTGGGGGGGCACCCCCATCGAATCCTGGTCCTCACCCCGAGCCCTGGCATGCTGCGGACTGAATGCACAGCCTCAAAGCAAGTACGTGTAATAGAGAGCGATTGACTTGTATAAAGACACATAGACCCGTATAGGGAGCATATATAATCACAAAGAGTGAATGGGTGATTGTTTATGTATGTATGTTGAACTTCTTTTGCATTGTTCGTAGCCAACCGTGCTAATCAGAGGTACACGGGAAGGACAACAAACTAAACAAAAAAGGCAATTTTAAAGAAATTAGTTTTCAATCTAGAAATAAAATTGCATAGCTCCAGTGGGTTCCTAATATCAGAGGGAAGGGCACTCCAGACAGCAGCAGAAGCAAGTCTGAAAGCATGCGATGCGGTGACTGTCTCTGTTTGATGGCTAGCAAATAACCACTGGGAGGATGACCAGAGTTCGCGTGATGGTCTATGCTCCTTCATGAGATCAGCAAGGAATTGTGGTTCAGTTGCAGCAAGCGCTTTGTGTGTAATGCGTGCAACTTTATAATGTATTCATTCGGCACCCAGAAGCCAATGCAGCTTGGCGAGCACTGGACGGACATGGTTGGATCTTGCAGTACTCATCATGACACGGGCCAAATCATTTTGTACACACTGCTGCTTGGTAAAAGTAAATTGCCAGACGTCCCACAGAGTACTGACTTGCAATAATCGAGCCATGTCGATGTTATGCTACATGCAACCGTGTTGGCTATGGCACGACACATCATGGTCGAATATATCATCGAGCACTGATATGAACATTTTAGGACCACGTGGTGATCAAACAACATTTTCTGATTGAGTGTGGTGCGCAGGCTCTTTAGATGAGTAGAAAACTGAATCTTGGAGCCTGTAACCACCACACCTAATCCTCCCACATTTGTTTAACCTGAGCCTGAGTGCCAACCGTTAGAACTTCCGATTTTGTACAAAACACACGTGTACCACTCACATGCAATCTTTGAGGTTACCGATGCTCTCCATATCTAACTTGGACTTCACTGTGATATACAATTGTGTATCATCAGCATATTGATGGCACTTGGTGCCATACGATAAGATGACATCGGTGATGGGAGAGACACGTTGAAATTAGGAAGAACCCGAGGATGGTCGCCTGTGGTACACCAACTAGACACGGCATCGGCAATGAAGTTCGTCACCCAGCTTTACGAACTGTGATCGACGATGTGTAGGTATGACTTAATCCACTCCAGTGCCATACCTGAAACACTGAACTTTGACCTCAGCCGCCTGATGAGTATATAATGGTTGATAGTGTCGAAGACAGAGATCAAGACCAACCAATGCTGCAGTGCACTGATCATCCATGATCTTGTAGAGGTTATCAGTGATGTTTAATATAGCCATATCAGTGCTCCAGAACTTCCAGTATGCCGACTGCAATGGGTTAAATCTGCCCATTGCAGCGAAGTGCAGAAGTAACTGCTTCAGACAAAGGCACTATATAACCCTTGAAATCGTACTCAGATTTGATTGGGCGATAGTGTGCAGAGTCACTATGACTCAAACCAACTTATTTCAGGAGCGGCGTTATCAGTTCCATTTTTAACCAGTCTGGGGAAAAGGCTGCGCTGAACTAAATATCTGCCAGGTGAACAATCAGCGAAGTAAGCACGTCTGAGCATGATTTGATAATTGACATGTGGATATAGTTGCGTAGCGACGTCTTATTTGGCAGGGGAGTGATGAACATCGACATCTCTGCCACCAAAGTTTGTGCCAGGGTCTCGAGTTTTGCATTGGTTCCAGGTTGATTAAACTCAGATGGCAGACTGCATTGCATTCAAGTTTGAAACATGCATCTTGATCATTACTATTTTATTGGTGAAGAATGTTGCAAGGAATGTGCAAAATAGGTTAACTAGTTGATGGGGGTTGGAATGCAGCAGACCCGTCACGACATGTCACAGAATATGGGGGTCACGAGCCAAACAATTTATTCGCAGAGAATATAACAATCTGCGAGACTCAATAATGAGTTGGTTGGCAGATATGCAGGTGGCTGTGCAAGAAAGTCGGACAGTCTTGAAATCATCCTCCTCCACCTCCGCTTAGCAGTGATCGCCCCTGGTGACAGCCAGTTACTGCACACTTTCCCCATTTTATTTGTGCTTATTCGAATGGGCACGAGTTCATGAAGAACAGCAGTGATGTCATTTTCGAACTGATCTGCAAATGAATCAACCATCAATACAAGATTTAGACACACCGGTGATGACCAGATGTCCAAACGGTAAGCACTCTTTGGTTCTTTCAGTAAAGTCGCGTAGGTAGAAATAACATAAAATTGAATATAAAAATAAGAAATAAAATATAAGCATGTGGTTAAGTCGCTTCCAGTCTCTATATGATATCGTTGTGATGGGTGGGTGAATAATCGGTAATGCCATTTTGCACATCACGTTATTGCTTAATTACGTCTGGTGAGTCGTCATATACCCAGGTGTTGGTAATGGCCAATATGTCGAGTCCACAGTCATTAATCAGATCCGAGATAAGTGCAGTCTTGTGAACTATGGAGCGTGCGTTGATTAATCCTAAGTTGAGGAGCCCTGGTCAAGGGTTAGGCTCAATACCTGACTTCGGCAGCAGTATATCAAGGGGGAACTGCACATCACCAATGTGTACAAAGCCCCTAATTCAAAATGGCCAAAGCCAGCACTCCCAAGTGCACCAATCTGAGCCCTATACATTGGTCACTTTAACAGCCATACAATGTGAGGTTATGCAGTAGGTCAGGCTGACGGTGAAAACCTCACCGAGGGGATATCTGCTGAACATCTACACCTGGTTTTCGATTCCAGGCAGCAAACAACTTTACATTCTGCTCGCTGGAAATGCGATGACAACACGGACCTCACCATCGTTTCCAAAGATGAAAGTGGGAGCACACTTGACGTATCCCGCCAAATACTCTGAAGTTTTCCCAAAAGTAAACATAGGGCCATCATCACCCACATCGGCATCCAAATCCCCAATATTTAGTCAAAACGATTATCAAGGCTGAACCTGGTCAAAGCTGACTGGAACCACTATAAGGAGGCTGTAGAAAGAGTAATGAGTCGAATTCCGGCGATCCTGGAATGTTATTACCGTTTTTTTGGCGTCCTTACTGCAGCTGCCAAGAACAGCATCGCCCAAAGCTTCCTGAAGAATACACTCCCTGCTGGACAAAAGGGATCCAGGATCTGCTCCAACAGTACAACCAGTCGGGCAGCCCATAGGTTGGAAAGGCCCTGCTAGAGTCTTTAGACTCAGTCAGACATCAGCAGTTGATTGAGTGCATTGAAGGCCTGGAATTCACACACTCTAGCCACCATGCCTATTCCCTACCACGACATTTGGGTGCTGCTAACCAAGCAGAAGACTCGACCGCACAAGTCCTGCCCGACTCTATAGCCTCCAAAATAGTGAAGAACACTAAAGGACCACTTGACAAAACATAAAGCAAGAGTACCTCGCCAATTAAACCAGGCATTGGCCTCAATTTCTTCACAAGACCCGACCATCATCAGCACAGAGGAAGTGATGGTCTGGATAAAATTAAGAAAGGCAAGGCTGCTGGCTGAGATGGTATCCCCCCCCCGAAGTCCCCCATCAGTTAGGCCCTCGGGGACTCCAATGGCTGGCAAACCTGTGCAACAATATGAAGAAAACCAGACGCATCCCAAAAGCATGTCGGGAGGCTAATAGTCATTGCAATTCCCAAAACCGGGCAAGCCAACTGACGACCAGGTAATCTATAGACCAATATCACTCCTATGCACGGCCTATAAATTCAGTGATCCCTGAAGAACAAGCAGGATTCTGGCCTAGACACACAGCTGCAGTGACCAAGTTTTGGCCCTTCCGACGCACATTGAGACTGGATTCCAGAAGAAATACAAGACCGGCGCAGCCTTTGTGGACTTGTCATTGGCCAACGACACAGTCTGGATTAAGGGTTTGACCATTGCTTGCCTCCAAATAATGCAATTGATATGGACTATGTTGAGCAATAGCCAACTCCGTGTCGATATGAGCGGCAAAGCCAGTTCACCCAGGTTACTCAACAATGGATTAACACAAGGTTCATTACTCATGCCAACGCTCTTTAATGTCGACACCAGTGACATGTCACAAACCGGGTCACGCAAATTTGTAAATGCGGATGGCAACGCAAGCAGCCATTTTCAACGATATCGAATCCATGGCAGAATATTTCCGGAAATGGAGGCTGAAGCCAAATCATCACAAAAAAACAATCACTGCATTTCACTTTGATTATAGCAGCACCAAACACACTAATAAAATGACCTTCTGCAGCAACACAATGCAACACAACCCCACTCCACCTTATCTCGGTGTGAAGCTAGACCTATGCTAATCTTGCATGACCACCTGAAAAAGGTAGCCGCCAAGACCAAACAAAGGTCAACCTCGTCCAGCAACTGACAAGCACACACTGGGGAACCTCTGCACCAATGCTACGGATATCAACGATGGCCCTTATGTACTCTGTAGTCGAATACTGTGCACCAGTTTGGACTAAAAGTAGTCACACTCGACTTGTTGATGTCAAACTAAACATTGCAATGCGGTGTATCATTGGAACCCTCAATTCGACGCCAACACCCTGGTTGCCTGTGCTATCACACATCTCTCCCTCACCCATCTGTTACAATGCTGCAACCCTATGGGAAGTCTTGCGAATCGAGGAAAGCAGTCACCTTTCCATTCATCAGGACCTCAATAACATCCCTCGTCATTGCTTGAAGTCACGTAAGCCCTTTTGGACCCATGCGCTTAACCCCAAACTGTGTGAATTCAACCAAAATGAAGCCTGGAGAGCTGAATGAAGTTCAAAATAACCCACAAAAAAGCACCTTGTAAAATACCCAACGCAGAAGATCCCTGGGTTTGATCTTCAACGAAGTTCATGGTCCACCCTAAATCGCATCCGCAAAAACATGGCAGATGCGGATCCCTGATGCACGAATTAAACATTAAAAATGCTCCAGTGTTAAACTGTGGTTATCTAGAACAGACATTGCAACATAATGACGTAATGCCCGATCCACAAATACGAAGGAGACATCACAGAGACACACTCTGCTGCTCCTCACGCGATTATCTGGCTTTACCACCTGAATGTGAAATTGTAGTTGCTGCTCTGCACCTACATCAGCCATACAAAAGAATAAGAAGCACCAGTATGGCGATGAATGTGCTCTTTCGTGATCGTGTGGATGCAGAGCAGAAGAAGAACTGACCATATCTGCAGCACAAACATGTGCGAGGCATGACAACAATTGATAAACAAGGCCGGATAGGAGTCAGCATTTCCACATCAAATCGTAGTAGTGGGTGCCGAACTCGAGTAGTTTGAACCAGAAAGTGGACTGATCAGCACTCCCTTCTGGACGTTCCATGCTAGGCCGAGTCTGCTGGTGAGTCGCACCGCAGCATCAGTGGCGTTTGGATGGGATAGAATTGATCCAAGCCAAGAGTAGTACTCGGTATGGCCCCCCATTTTCCAGGGAAGAGGGGAGGCATTCCTTGACCAGACCGCTCGTCTCACTCAGTCGGGTCCCGTGAGAGCAGGGCCCGACTACAGACATCTGGGTAGCAGCAGCATAAGCAGAAGTTGCAGCATCATCATTCCAAGGGGTTGTTGCTGCTTTTGTTGCTGCTGTGATTGTTGTTGTTGCTGCTGTTGTTGCTCTTGTTGTTGTTGCTGCTCTTGTTGCTCTATTTGCTGCTGGTGTTACTATTATTTTGTTGCTGCTGCTGTTGCAGCTGCTCTTGTTGTTTAAAGGCTATTTGCCATGTCGCGCTAGAGCCAAATTTTGATACGCTGCCCTCACAACACATCTTCGTCTGGCTTGGGGCCAAGCATTATCTAGAGGCATCTCCGCACACGCATTGCATGTGACGTCAGTCAGTGCACAGTGAGGACACGGTGTCATCACATCATCTCCACGCGTCTTCCACTCATTCATTGAATGAGATATCAGGCAGTACGTCATGTGGACATGGCATTACCACGTTATCTACACGCATTACAACTCGTTCATTGCTATATTCTTGGTTTTTTCGGTAAAGTCACGTAGAAGGGAAATAATAAAATATTAAAAATAAAACATAATAAAATAAAATTCTCACGACGTTTCGGCCACAACACGGCTGCTTGTGTTGTGGCCGAAACGTCGTAAATATGAATCCCTGCAGTCACGAAAGCTTTAAATCGTTAATTGCTGTTTACGTTAGCAACACGACTCGGTTTTCCAGTGCAAAAGAGATATCAGAGGCAATTGAATGACTCAAGACAATTTTAGGACATTGGACCTTTTGCCCAAATTATATATGTACACATCAAGGCGTGTGCATATGTAGTGGCGGTACGTGCTGGCAGGGGGGGGGATCGTGTGAGAGCGCGTCGGGTGTGGCTACATCGCGGTCCGCAGGCAGGTGTCCACATCGCGGTCCGCATAGGCCCCGCCCCCTGGAGCGGAGGGCTATATAGGGCGATGTGCAGCAGCACTCGGGGAGTTGGCAACCAGTGAAGACAGAAGACGGAGGAGGAAGAGATAGGTCCCTGAGACCCCTAGCCCCGCTGTCCTTGTAAGGGTCGGGACCCTGTGTGGCTCAGAGGCGAGACCATGGGACCCGCGGCCGGACGTCCTTGTGAGGGCCGGGCTGTGGAACCCAGTGGTCGGGACCCATACCCCAGCTAGGGTGGGTCTGCGAGTTCCCCTGGAAGCTACGGGGCCGGAGAGCCCGTGTCTGTGTAGCCGGGTTGGAACGCGTAGCATAGGCTGTAGTTCGGCTACACGTGTTAATGTAACTAAGTAGATGTTAATAAAAGTGTGCTACCCGTCAAGTGGTCTCCCGCCGTAATTACTATATTACACATATAAAACAAAAAATGTAATAATGTTTTACATAGTTTATGCTCTACTGAATGTCTATGAAGAGCAAAGTATAAGCCTTTTCGCAGTCTATCTAATCTTTTTAAGCTTATCAGTGTGGTACTGGCCACGTCACCTCATCATGAGCTTGCTATAACAGCACTTGTCCCAACAGTTTATCTAGGCTACATCAGGGATATTTGTCTTTGTCTTTGAGTGTAGTGATCAACTGGAACCGACCGTGCTGTGGAACGCAATGATTAACCCTCTGCTCAAAATGAGCCTCAAAGGGGTAATCTGGTACCAAGGTCAGTGACATCAACACATATACATGCATACACTCATACATACACAACAACAGTTGCCATTTGCCACTTAATGGCAGTGACATTGCCACAGCGCTTTTGCCAGGCTAGGAGCACTTTCAGACTATCACAATAAGTGTCAGTGGCTCGTTGGTAGGTTACGGGACAGGTCCAGGTGTTATGGGTTTACTGAGATGATCGGCACCACCTATGCTGCCCATTGTGCCTACTTGCTGCAGTTTAGCTACCCAGCATTGCGCTCATTGTTGTGACCATCAATCTAATAATCTCTGTTGTTGGAAGGCAACTGATTTAAACTACCCATTAGCATCATTAAATAGCCTCCTCCATATGGGCCGATATTGACACTGCTGGTATCAGTAATCAGCCCCAAATTCTCTCACACCACATCAGTCCACCACTTCTCTAGCCTGTGCCGTGCCCATGTAACTTCTTTAATCCCACAAAATAGAAGGTTCTTGGTCAAGTGCAGATGTTAAAGAAGTCCACATTTCACAAGTATGTAGAAAAGACGTCATAATTGTGGCCAAGAAGACTCAAAACTTCGTATAAAGTGACAGGCCAGATATCTTCCACACGGCGTTAAAGCAGCTGATAATACGATAAGGCTATTCGACTGATTCCAAGTGATACCTCTGCTGCCAAACCGAAGCTTGTCATAAGCACACTGCCCAAATAAGGCAACTCCTCCAATCTCTCTACAAGTACCTGAATACTCATATGAAGTTCAGCGAGTGGAGTATTACATAAATAAAATACCTAGGCAGGTGCTTTGTTTTAGTCAGGCTGATGGTAAGGTCACACCTCTGAGTGGCACACTCCACGGTTAGCACCAGTCTCCAACTCCTCAGAGTGAGCACCAACCACGAGATCATCAACATACATAACATGGTTGACAAATAGGCCACCACCCCTTTCCTGCAATTGGGGATTAAACCACCTCCCATTGTATCTATACCAGATAGAGATGTATCTGTAAAGCAATGGAACGATTCCCAAACTGTGTCATCAAAGATGTAAAATAGTGTAGGGGCCAGAATAAATTACTGTTGCATCCCAAGGTGAACAGGGAATCACTTTGACTACCGGCCATGCAGCTTTACCTGGGCCTTCCCACCACGATAAAGGTAGTTAATAAATGAGTAGAGGGTCAATGGCATCCTTCCAATCCTGTGAAACCCATTTTGTAATATCAGCACTTGTAATGATATCAATAGGGCAGCCTGCACACAATAGCCAATCTCCCTCAGAAGTTCACTTGAGAAGTCATCTCTGCCTGGTGTTTTACATGGTTTTAGGCTCTGGATCTATATTTGTACTTATTCAACAGATGGCACGACGGCGCCACTCACATGAGATGGCTATTTCCTCCAATATTGAGACAGCAACCCAAACAGGGTCAACCTCACCTCGCCCCAGTATGTTATTTCAGCTAAGGAGTTAACCCTCCCGAGCACTTTACAGGAATTATCAAATAATCAAAACATACATTCTCTTGGATTCGAGATCACTCTCTTTCCATTTTTGGGTGCTGCAGCTTAGGTTTTGATGGGAGTAAAGAGTGATTTCTCATCTATTATAATATTGGTAACAAAAGCCTCTATGTTAAAGTGGTTTGTGAGTTGGCAGATTAGCTCCAGAGATGGTAATTTGGTGTCAAGGAAATGGGCCTAATTCACTGTTCCATCACTATATAGTCCACCAGTTGTTCTTTCTTTGACCCGGCATACATCCATGGCATGTGAATGCACCAATGCTAGAACAGCGTGTTGGTGATTACAAGGCCATGGGCTGCACAAGAAGTCTCACATTCTCTTACCGTTGTTTTTCAGCTGATCTGGCCCATGCCTCCCAATCACTTCTGCCCAAGTAATCGCATTAAAGTCACCAAATAAGATGCTTTTATCCCAAGGGGGCACTTTAGCCAGCACCTGGGACAGGACATATAATGCATCAAACTCATAAGTCTTGCCCAGCTGATGACACAGATGTCATCATCTATGTCTATCTATCTTTGGTAGAAGTGTAAGCTGCCACCACCATTCCTGGAACTCGCAGCTTGCATTTGCCTAAGACTCACTGCTTCCCACGTAGATCAACCACTTTTCAATGCCCCTTCATTCTTTAGTTCAGCTTCCTACCATGAGTGGAGGAGGACACTGTCCACCTCTTGAGGTGGAGACAGAACCAGCCCACCAAACCTCCTGTATTCCAAATGGGTCCAGGAGCTACTGGTTCAGCTCCCAAAATGTGCCTTAAAATGTTAAATTGTTATTGTGTGAGTGTATGGGTCTCCGTGTATGTACAGGTAGACTTGGGCTGAGCGCAACCCCGTAGAATACCTAATCGTAAAAGCGCTCTTTGATTTGGATAAAATGCTTCCAATAAATGTTAATAAAAATATCTAAACATTGCTCACAAGTGTAGTGTCAACGATTCAGAGACAAAGTTTCTATGAGGCACTTTCTTTATTAACAACTTTCACGGTCTCGTCCGCACACTCTCCACAGGAGCTCGCCTGTACTTATGTGCTAGCCATCTAACACTCACGGTGCTGACTGAGATAGTCAACTACTATCCTTCAAAGCACAATATCTAGCGGAGATGGCAGCGACGACGGCGACGAGACGAAAGCAACGACGAATTGAGTCCATTCCCAGAACCGGCAGCCTCGAGCCACCCACTCTTGGCTCCATTCATGCTCCCAGCATGGCCTGGCTCTGCCCTGATCGCACCAAATCGATTTGTTTAGCCAGGTGATAAAGAGTCTCAGGATTCACCTACAATAAACCTCACCACATAAATTTACACAGAGGGCATCACTAAGATTACGGAGGTCCTGGGGGTCTTTGAGAAATTCCTGGACTGGCAGCTCAGCAGCTTCCCCAACCTCGTATCCCACCGCTCCCTTGTACAAGTAGAGTACATAATACTTACTGATGTTAAATTGTATTATTATTTTACTTATGAATTTTTTTTTACCATCTGTATTTTAAGTAATATTACTTCTACCCCAATGAAGCCCTCATATATTGCTCATACGTAAGAAATAATGCTGTCCGGAAACACATCCCCATGTAGTATACAATGTATAATGATACCTTTAGTGCTGCATCAATTAGTGCTAACTTCTCCAGAAACGAATATTGAATGCTGAGGTCTGGCTGTATATCTGTGTGAGTCTATGGATCTCCCTATGAGTCTATGAGATTCTTGCATGAGTCTTTGACAATTTACAGACCGGTGCTGCTTTCACCTTGAGTCCTACAGGGACAACTGAAACGGTTTGGTCCCCGAGGGTCGACTGTTGCGGGGCAATGAGATGGTTGAAATGTTAATATAAGGCTCTTTGAGATATTGCGGTGTTGTAAGCAAGTGCCACCGTGTACATGCACTTCTCTATTTCTTGTTCCTTGAGCAGGTGAGAGAAACACTGGATACAACACTGACCTCTACAACTGCAGCTTCCCAGCCATGATTAACGACTGGCGTCAGGAATTCTACACAGCCACCAATGGCAACACAGACCCGCTTCTGCCCTTTGGATTTGCGCAGGTAAGTGGATTGACCATTGCCGGTAAATGATAATGATCAGCATGATTTAAGTGTATGACTTTATCACCATGGCTGAAAAGGGTTATTTTTACGTGCTTGTTTTTTGTCATCAACTTTTGGGAATCCCGTTCATCAATGTGGCCTGGTTTCTCTTGGGTGAGCCCCTAATGGCAATACAAAATGACACGAGTGTTTATAATATTGGTTCATCCTTATAATCATTATTTCTGTATCTCGCCCCAAGGCCTTTATCCCATCTCGTTCAACATCGTTGACCCCATGTCTGTCTCTACGTATCTTTCCCTGTCTCTTCTCCCTCGCTGTCTCTCTTCCCATATCTCTCAACAGTTCTCTCCTCGTTTCTCTTTCCCCATATCTCTTTACCCATATTGTTCTCCGGGTGTCTGTCTCCCCTTGTCTTTAGATCTCCACCAGTGACCCAGATGACGACACGGACTCGTATCCACGCATTCGCTGGCACCAGTCTGCAGACTACGGTTTCTCCCCGAACTCGCAAATGCCAAAAACCTTCATGGCCGTGACCATCGACTTGTGTGACCGCCACTCTAACTATGGGTGGTGAGTGACTGATTCACTAATTATGGTCCACTAGCTTTACTACCTGGCTTCGCCCGGGACTTGGATTCTTGTCTTATTCATAGTGTGATTATTTAAACACTTGGCCGTACACAACATTTTTGGTTTTTGTTTCTTCATCAGTGACAATGTATAATTTTGTTGGATCCTTTGCTCTTGACATTCCAACATACAGCTGTCCATGTGAGAAGCATTCGTCTGTCAAATCCAAGCCCGTAACTTTAAGTGACTGACCCTGCGATTTATTAATGGTTATTGCAAATGAAAGCCGAACAGGAAATTGTAATCGTTTGAATGAAAATGACAAATCAGTTGGATTCAATGGAATCCTTGGAATGAAGACGTGCTCGGCTTCAATTGGAACAGTTAGAATCGATGCCTCGATGACATGAGCATTTAATGCCTTCACCGTCAGTCTTGATCCGTGACACAGTTTCGGTGGATCCAATTTTTTTCACAGCATGATGGGAGATCCAACTTTCAGCACTAATTTGTGTGGTGGAATTCCGTTTGGATTCAAATAATTCAAAAATTCTACCGGATAGCTTGTCGCTTAGTCTTCATTCATACATTTGTCAATGGAGAATAATGTTTGTGAAAGTGCTTGAATCATTTCTTGTGTAATAAGAGCCTATGTCAGATTCACGTGGTGATCGGCTTTGCCGGTCCTGCTTTACAGCCAATGGGGGGAGAGCCTGGGAGCATGGCCTCGGCGTGATCACGGGATGTCTGCAAGGTGATTGGTTTCGTTGGTCTTGGCCTCAGCCAATGGGAAGACAAGTCGGGGGCGTGGTCCCGGGAGTTGATGGGGGATCTGGAACATTCGGCGCAGGCTATTGAGGATTGGCTGGAGTGTACCACGTGACCCAGGCGTTAAATAAGGGGAGAGAGGAGAGACACGGGGTCAGACACGGAACAAAAAGAGAGAGAGAGGCCACGCGCGAGTGGGGCTCCGGGTGCCACGTGGTGGGGTGTCTCTGGTGGCTGTCTGCCCACTTCCCGTTGCCTGCCAGCAACGGGGAGTGTTTGTGAACTGCAAGAAGTGAAATAAAAGGACGGATTCTACAAGCCGTCTCCAGCGTGTTATTACACTTGAATAGATTTGTTGATTTTATCGACTTTGACGTTTAGTGGTGTCTGAATTGCACGTGCCTTAAGTCATTTGCGATTCAGAAGATTTGCTCCAATGTTTGGATACACGCAATTGATGAGACTCCTCAGAGTAAGACAAATTTTGCAGAATTCTTCGGAGAGCTTGATTTGTCCAGTTTCACTTGTTGCTTCCTTGCCGTTGCCAATGTTGAGCAAATAATCAGATTAATTCTTGGATTCATAGATATCAGATTGGTAAACTCTCATGTTGGTCGTGAGCTTCATTGTTGTGACGTCTCTCCAAAGCTGTAATGAGTTCAGGCAGGCTTTGATTTCATAAACCATCGTGCCTTTTGGAATCACTGGTAACGTTTGGCGAAGATCACCAGCAAGGACAACAATCAAACCGCCCATAAGATTTTTGTTGCCACGAATATCTTGCAGTGTTCTGTTGACTGCCTCAAATCCGTGCTTATGCATCATCGATATTTCATCCCAGAATAACGCTTTAGCTTCTAACAGTACTTTGGCCTTTCCACTTCCTTTCTTGATGTTGCAAACGGGCGCTTCATTATGGACCAAGTCAATCGGGATTTGAAGCGTTGAATGCACTGTTCGTCCTCCAGTCATCAACGTTGCAGCGATGCCAGAAGATGCAACAGCAAGTGCAATTTTCTTTTCTCCTCTGATGCGGGCTAGCAACAAATTTATTAAAAAAAGTATTTCAGGTTCTTCCAGGTACATCGATGAAAATTACTCCGCCTTCGTTGTTGTAATGTCGTCGTAGAACCTTTTGATAAATTGCTTGTTGCTCTGCATTCAACAGTGGCTCGTTCAACGTGACGTAATCCAGCATTTTGTCAGAGTCATATGACAACTCTCAAAGCATTTCTCGAGTCATGTTCACTGCTTTCTGTCGTGAAGGACTTTTCATGCCGATTTCCGACAAAGACTTTACAATCATCTCCAAAATTTATCTTCAATGATCATAAGTGCCTCATTATAAATGTTATCAGTGAATTCCAAAGTCATTTTCAAAATGTCTTCAGACATGCAGTCTTTGTGGCTCTCCCAAAGTACTTTAGGATTTGATGGTTCACAAAACAACAGGATGATTGCGAAGAGAGTTCTGATTTTTGATCGTGAATCCGATTCCTTCGCTTCCTTCAATGTCTCGTCCCATTGATTGTCGTTCTCCAGTAGTCTCAATGCCAGGCAAGCTGCATGACACGTGTTGTGCTCAACTCCATCGACTGTTCGGAGATCCTTGAAGCAAGTTGGGCCTTTTTCTTCGTGCAACAACATTCTCAAGTAGTAGCAATCGAAGTTTCTCATGTGGACTGTGTAAACATGGCCTAGAGCGTCGCCAGATAGAATTCCGACATGTCCTGCAACAATTGCACCTTGTTTGCGTCGACTGAAGATTTTCTTTGACTTGTCCCATGTGTAATACATCAGAACTTCGCAATAGAGCAGTGTTTTTGCAAAATTGTCTGTTTTGCATAGCTCGAAGAATCCTGTCCCTGTTGTGTTTTGTGGATTGGCCGGAATATTTAGCAAATTGCCTTGATTAAAATAGATGCGCTGACCATTTTCGAGGTGAACACGAAGATGCATGACTGTTAGGTATCATTCGTGGATCGGAAATCCGAAAATGCGCCATGTCGCTTCATTACTGGAGATGTACCGGCCTGTTTGGTCTTCCGAGATTTCATCAATTTCCACAATGTTACGTGGCATAGTAAATACTCCTTGATCGGATCCCTTGTGGACATACGTGAGGATGTATTTAATCGATTTCACTGAGTTGCAGCACTCAACGTTGATGTGGGCATCGAACATCTTCAGAAGCAAAGGACTGTATGGAACGATCCAGCGATTATCAATTTCCACATCCTCCGACTTCATTTTGATGGTTGTCGTTTGTCTGTCTTCAGGTTTTCGGCGACGACACAATGGGTAGCCATCTGTTAATGTTTGCATTTCCTTTTGAATTGACGCAGAAATATCTTGCTGCACATCTTATCGATCATGCATGGAGACTGCCAATTCAAAGCGCCGCAAGGACCATGTACCATGTCTTTAATGACGATGTCGTGAAGCTTCTTATCGGTGTCGGGATTTGGAATTTCTGCAGAGATGATTTCGTCGATTTGATTTGTTTTGAGTCCATTCGTCAACCACATCAAAATGTGTGCATGTGGAAGACCTCTCCTTTGCCACTCGATGGAATAAAGCCAATATTTAAACGAGCCAAAAACGTCACCTTTGATGAGAACATTAATGATTTTGATGAGCTTCTGCTGGAAAATTCTTGCACCAAATCATGTCGGTCCGTTTTTGATTGGCCGTTAATCAAATTATCTTCCTTCTCTTTGCAATTCGGATTGAACGTGTACGTGATAAATAATGACGGCTTGCCTCCATGACGAATGGAGGTGATGGCGTCTTGTGCATATTCATGCATGTTTCGTGGCCCTCCGGTATATGGTGATGGCAAAATCACTAACCTATTATTGGGTCTTTCGGTAAAGTCACGTAGATAGGTTCAAAGAAAATAACAAAATAACAAAAAACTTACCGTGATTTTCTGCATTGCCATTGTTCACAATCGCATCTTTCAAGTGAATGTAATAATCGACACGAAACCTTTTTTGGTTCAATCGGATGAAGAGCAATCTTTCCGTCTCAATCTTGGCATACATGTCAACCAAATATTGATGCAGTAACTGTCGGTAATTTAGCAATCGGTTCTCATTCGATCGTACCATCAATCGATAGGCGTAGTACGACATTGCAAACACCATTTTGTTGGCTCTATTTGACGTTCCTGGCTGAACTTGATGGATGTTGATGCCATATCCGTCCTCGCCTCATGAAAACATCAGCGAATATTGCAAGGCATCATACGAAATGTGTGTCTCGGAAACACTCTTAAGGTCATTGTTACGCATAGTCAAAACAATATCGCGTATTTAAAAATCATTTCCAGCAATGATGATGGCGACTTCATTGACTACCAGTGCATTAAAAACACGTGCATGGCCTTGTGCTGGTTTCTTGTTTGCCTTAATGACGATCTTTAGGTCTTCACTTGGATTATTATCAAGTGCCATTTTGAATTGCTGAAAGTAGTGATTGTTTTCGTGCAGCATCTTTTACAAGGAAGCCATCAAACTTTTGTTGGTGCCAGGAATCACAGCACAACTACGTTGCGCATCAGTTTCTTTGTCGCCAGGAAAGTAAATTTGTAGGAATTTTGACTCTTCGTTGGGCAGCGATGGGAGAGAGCCAGCCTTGTGGAACACTTGACCTTGAATTTTAAAAGTTGGCATGAATCCATTTGACTGAGGCATAGGCATAGATGTTCCAAACGAAGTCATTTGAAAATTGCAATTGTATTTGCGGATCAGGCTTAGAAATTATTTCGACTTTGGATGATCACCATTCATAAGGCTCTGCAATGGCTCTGGCAATTCCGGAAGCTCTGGCAACCAAATCTTTCGACCGGAACAGCACGATCCTGGTGTCTCGCCTTCACACTTTAGCGCATTGCAAAAAGTGCACTTCAAAGTCATGCTACCAATGACAATTGGAGGAAAGTTTGAATAATCCAATTCAGGATCATAATTGAATGCTTTGTCCTTCAAATATAGCCAGTTTCTTGCCCGTGAGGCGCCTTGTCGAATTCTCTCCTGCTGGAGTCGATATTTGTGAGCTTCAACAGTTTCAGCCAAAATTCGGTTCTGGTGAGCATTTAAATCACTTTGAATTCGTTGCTGTCGCTGCTCCTCGCTTTCAATAGCTCTCGAGTTTGAAGCTCGTAGGCGTTCTGACGTTCGGCGCTCGTTGGTCTCTTCAGCAGTCTCGTTGCATCGTCGAACAGCTTG